TTCTTTAATATATAGAACAAAGTGTTAGAAGGTTGTCTGTGAATACTTGCGCGTTTAATAATCGTATATATATATACACATAAATATATGTCCATCTGTAAAGGTTATAAATAAATATGTATGCATAAAATGAAAGTGTAGCGCGACTCACGCACACAAGAATGCATACGAACGAGCCATCACATGTGTATACTCAAATACGATATCGTCTACTTGGATCATTGACTACACACAGGAATACGTATTCGACAGCCAACATAGTACTGCGTGAAGGAACACAGCACACAGACGAGTGTGGCATATATGTACAGAATGTCACTTAAACAGGATATATACAGACCCACAGTTGATACGTTATTTATGTGCCCACGCCGACATGTACGAATACACGTGTAGATACGCATACACACGCATAGGACACATACAAGACACATACACATATACATACGTACCACACGTCTGCACACTTACGCCTATACACATACACAGACACGGACATGCACTCACCCTTAACAGCCGACTATTGTTAACCCGTGCCATTGGGTCAGGCGTACTCGCACTCCCGCTCCCCGGTCGGTCACCTAAGCCAATCACATTGCGTATATAAATAAAACACGCCACTATCATCGTGTACAGCGCGTTCATCGGATTGGACGAGACCAATGAACCGCCTCCGCCAGGTGGGCAAGCAAAGAGATTGGCTGACACTGGTTTCTTCACCATTACAGTTGCACTTGGGGTGAGTCCGAGGGTGCTGTGATAGATAGATTGAGGATGTGTGGGTACTTCCAAGTTAGTATGTGTCTTAATTGTAAAAATGTACGTATACACACAGGAGAGATATTGCTTGGCACTCGTTTCTTCACCATTACAGTTGCACTTGAGGTAAGTCCGAGGGCGTTACGATAGATAAATGAAGTATGTGTGGACACGTTAAAGTTTGTTTGCAAAACACAGACACACAAACACATCATGCGTAGACTCAGACACCCACACCCACCCATAACTACACTCGCAAAACACTCTATTCAAGATTTATCATCAAAAGAACCCAGCACTACACCACAAAAAACGCTGCCATACTTCACGAACGCGCGCCGGAAACATACTTCAGAGTGCTCTGCATATCCTCAGCCCCAAACACGCGGGGTGGGAAGGTCATGTGCAAGCGTGGGTCGGCACCAGCCATGTTTCTGTGGTTGTCGCTCAGATACGCGCACACATCCGCCAAGGTGGCACCCTGCGCACCCGTAAAAGTGTGTCTGTGCACACTGCCGTCACTAAACCGGAACTGGATCTGCGCATTTGCGCAGTTCTTATTGGTTGTGGCGGTGGGGAATGACGCGTTTTGATTGGCCCGTGTGGAGGTGTGTCCTTCGTCGAGGTGTCCGTCTTGTCGCTGCGCCGCGAGTGTCTTTCTCGCGGAAAAGAAGGACAAACTGTGAGACGTGACGGCAGAGATAGCATTCGTAGATATCCATGTTATACGAGTATTTTAAGAAAGTGTTTGAAGGAAGCAGCATTGCACAAAGGTATATGAATCGGATGTACTTTCTTCTTGAAGGTATATATAAGTTTGTCAGTGATCCGACAAGCCCGTGAGCACATCTCCGTACATTCGTACAGCTTGGCACACTCGATAGGGAGCCACAGATACACAGCCAAAACTTGCACAAACCGTTCGAATTCGGTAGAAGTCCACCTTAACAATCAATCCATACCTATCAGCATCCTGCAACATGGACCGTGCATGTGTCCTGGAGTTGCATACATACACGATCGTCTGATGTCCATGTACGTTGCAAGTACATGGGTTTTCCCCTTTGATAGTATGCGGATACTGACATGGTTTGAGCTGTACTTTATATCACAGCTAGTCACCATGCGCCTGTTATTCCTATAGTGCATACCATTTCCAACTCGTTCCGTGTACTTGTTTTGCTAGTTATTCCAGACGTATTTGTGACTTACATATACAACAACTGCCTTTACCATCCACACGCATACTTTTACATGTTGATCGCTACATAATTCAAACACGGAATATATATCCAGAATCTCAACCTTTCGCTCAGCTTCCCTTCGAATCTTCTCCTGGCGGTCCTCCTGTATCTTTTGTTTAATACGTTGTCGTGCCTCGGCGTCCTCCACACGCTGCTGTTTGATGTCTACCTGAAGTTGTTTCAAACCTTCCTCTTTGCGTTTTCTCTCCTGATTGATTGGACAAGAATGAATTTCATCAGATACTCACTATTTTCGGTTTATTTATATAGACAATAAACGATAGACATACATCATATATACACATGCGTTTTCGACCCTATAAACGCCGGCACGCATAAGTACTAGAATTTACTATGAAAATTTAATGAACGATGATATAAAAGGTTGTCGTAAGCACATACATGTCCACGCACATTCGTGAACATTGAGAGAAAGGCGCCCTGAAGTGAAACTGCCAAGTCACACCTATAAACGTCCGCAAGTACTCACTTACGCACAGCAAATCAGATAGTACGGTTGCGCACATACACACCAGCATCACAGTGTCTATCCCTCGCCTATGGCCTGATTGTATTGGAGCTAGTGACCAATACCACCGCAGGTGACTGCTGTGAATGTCATCGAGATGTGTGTGCATCTCGTGCGTCTGAACGCATGCGTAGGCTAGTCGTCAATGACAACACGTGTACACCGATTTACGGACAAAAGCATGCCACCAGCTCTTACACACACGCACGACACATATGTACAAACACTTGCACACACACACAACATACAAGCACATACACACACGAATAAAACGTACACACACAACACGTTTGCGGACATTAAACACTTACCGCTTCCAGGATTTCCTTGGCATTCTTCCTGCGTGATAGTTCCGCTTCCTTCTCACGCGCTCGTTCGTCGGCAATATTCGACTTTCAGCACAACACAACAACAGCAGTTGGTGTGAATGTTAAACTAACCCCATTGTGAATGATAAACTAACCCCATTGTGAATGATAAACTAACCCCATTGTGAATGTTAACAGTTGGCGTGAATATTAAACTTGCCCCTTTTCAGCAGTACATTTACTTTATTCCCGCCAGTAATGGACTGGCTCGGAATTGGTAGAGCGTTTCCTTCCTATTTGTAAATATCACACATAGACGGACGCCACAATGTACATAGGTAGGCGGCATATGCACGATGTATACACGCCCTCTTTCCGTCACTGTGCTTTCTGATTGAGCTCGGCTGCCTTGTTGGTTGTGAGTTGTTTTGCGCTGTTAGTTGCACATGCACATGTACATGACTCCCATACAAACACAGCAACATCTCACAGACAAACAGCGAAAACGCACCTAATAACCCAACGCCTGTCTCCGATGCCGCACCTTCACTTTGAGCTCAGCGGCACACTGTCATTTAAAGCAGATCATCTAACCAAGCACAACATCAAATCGCTCACACAACCACCTACAATACTATACATACACGATACACACCCACTTCACTTCCGAACTACACACAGACATCACACATTAACACAATCAATGTGCTATAGCTTAAACGCACAGAACAAGCCCGTAGATACCTCTCTCCGTTGCTGCACTTTCTTCTTGAGTTCGGCCGCTTTGTCGGCTGCGCTCGATGCTTCGCCTTTGCCCTTGTCAGCCGTTTGCGCTGTGGTATCAGCAGCGGATGTGGTCTGTGTGCACACCATGCGCATATAATATCAATGAGTTACTATGCTCTCACATATCTGCAAGTGAGGCTCCTGTAGCTTGTTCTGTGACCTTTAAACCTTGCCCAGGTGCTGTGGCATTACACGAGTGTTCTCTCACATCATTTTCCAATAAATCCGTAACTACGTACAAGTGGTAGAATGATATACTATAACAGCCATACGCTGTCTCTGAGGTATACAATAGTACACAACCACTTGTGCACGAATACAAGTGCGCACTCACACCAGAGCTAAATTTACAGTCTCGATTGTGATTGTAGGCGTGTGTGTCGGCTTGCTAGTAATCGGTGGTGCTGGTATATCCAGAGGGTATAGACCCATCCTGTCAATGTGTAGTATACGTTGTTACACAGATGTCGCATATATATATATATATACTCGCACTTCCGTATACATACTCTCACGCACCTCGGGCGACAAAAGGGTCACTGTTGTAGCGGCAGATGCGGCTATGGCTGTAACTGTAGATAGAAAGCTGCTCAAAGTGTGCATAGCAGTACACACTATAGTATAAAAACACATACCAATACATATATACAAAATACAAACACCTACCGATACCAATACATATATACAATATACGAATTTCGATATACAACCAATACATATATACAATACACATGCACTCGCTTATACATACAAAACTTCGTACGCACCTTAGGCGACTGAGGGGTTGCTGCAGGAGCTGTGGTTGTGGGCGTGGCTGCAGGGGCAGACGCAGTTTTATTAGCCGAGTGCATAGCAACAGCACTCTTGATGGCTGCGGTGACTTTGGCTGATGTGTGGTCATCTGTGAACACCTCGTACGGTACTCCCTAAGATAAAATAGATAAGAGCTGAATGAATATATATAGAGAAATGGTGATTGTCATAGCCAAAAACTAAATTATATATATTATATATATATATATATAAATATATATTACTTTGCATACATATAATAGAGTGCATATTGTAGGTGTTTGAGCAATGTCAGTATGCACAAGCGCAAGAACAGACATGAACTAAAATGCGCAGAAGCGACAAAATCACAATCACACATCAATTGATTTGTAGTGATCAGAACTCTCGTGTTGTCATGGCAATGATTGTCAAAAGACGATCATTATACCGCGTATATGCAAAAAGTTCAGCATCGAGTGTTGTGAGTAGTGACAATACATTAGCTACATCAGTGGACTGAGACTAACCGTACAAACGAGAGAACACTACAAACATTCGATATCGGGGCATTTAGCACCTTATGCGATGATATAAGCCAACGAGCATCACATGACCATGCTCACACACACACTCCCGTTGGGCACCATACGCACATACCAGCGGGGACAGGAAATACGTTGTGGGGGTCTTCAGCACTGGGTACACACTGCTGAACTGTGTACAGGCCTCCTCGCCTACCACCAGTTTCAAGCACAGAGCCACTTTGTTACCCAAAGTGTCTGTGAGAGAGAGCGCGCGCCGCACTTCGTTACTGTCCCATGCGCTGCTGTCACCGTCCGGGTCCGTGATATACACTAGCAGCAACTGTAGTGCGGGTGTGGGTGTGTGTGTGTGGTGAGTGCTTAAAGATGTTCGGGCACGATGGGGACTACAAGACACGTGCCTGTATACGGCATAGGGTTTTAGAGGTTTCGTGGACATATGTGCTTGTGAGCGTGTTTGACTGTAAAAAAAAAGTTTTAAGGTGCCTCTGGAAGTACCGGCCAGGGACAGCACTACATTCACTTCGCCACAGTCCCACGCGCTACAGACACCTTCGGAGACCGCACTGTACATCACCAGAAGCTCTGTACCTGCAGCTGGTTCTCATATTGTATCGTTATTCCTATACAATTGCTTGGTGTAATTAGTGTGTGTGTGTGTGTGTGCGTGCGTGTGGGCGGGTTTGTGCACTCATTAGTATCGTATCACATAGATCAGTGTGTGTGTGGAGTGATGATCTCCACTCAGCCATGTGCTCTTTCATGCACAATGGCCACGTGCGAACGCTACAACACAACTCAACACAACACAACACACCATACCTGACCGCTGGAGCCTACGCATTGAACGGCCTCGGCCGCATTGCCTTCGTACCACATGGACGAACTTTGGGCAGGTGTCGACTGTTATGGTTAAAACGTATGGGTAGGTAGGTAGCAATATTGAATTTTAGGGTTTAGGGATTTAAATCGAGAGTGAACCACATGTGCGGGCAGCGCAAAATTAATAAGTGTAAGTGTGTTGTACAAAGATGTTGGCTGTTAAAGTCGCGATCAAGACATTCGCAGAAATTATCCTTGTATGTAAATAGATGATCATTTAAAAAGCGCCGGCTAATCTTGTCTTAAGAACACGAATATGTTCTCCATCAGTCAGGAAGATAAAATCTATGTGCCAATTCATCAGGTGCATTATGTGTGACGGACGCTCAAGCACTGATTAATCATTTAAGACTGAAGTGAGTGGATGGTATATATATACCCTTCGCAGGCATGTAGAGATAGAGAGGCATCATTCCAATATGGAGTAGACGATCAGTACTTGTAACAGAACCGATTAACCGTGGTGTATTTTTACCACGTAGAGATTAGTTCGGCAAATACTAGGTGGTCAGCTATACCCAAAAACTGATTTACACAGAAGTATGAATAAATAGTCTATATACAGTTGTACGCGTGTATGCAAACATCTATAAGGTTCCCATAAACTCATATACACATCTATAAAGCCCCTAAATACTCATATACACATGGAAGTATATATACTCATATACACATTTCAGTATGAATAAACAGAGTCTATATACAGCTGTATCCGTGCATGTGAACGTCCATAAAGCGTCGAAGGAACGTACCCCGAGTGTGAACCCACCCGTGGGTTTGATGTCGGGAAGGTGGTACTTGATCGTTTGCTCCAGTTTCGGCACATTCGCACCACTGAACTGGTCAACCTGTGTGTCTCAATGTAAACGAAAGCACAAGTACATTTTAGTACTCCACCAGTGTACTCATTGCGTAAAATAAGCGACACCCACAGAAATATACAGGTCAGAGAAAACCCAAATTTTACGTGACACAGCCCGCTACAAACCCTAAACCCATAAAAACTACAGCCAGATACATGAACTTGGCAATGGACGAAGCATCCGTTCCCGACAGGGGATTATAACTTAGGTGCTTGTTAGATGCGTCTATATGCACCGATACGTGTGCAAAAAAAAAGCGTGCGATGACGACTGTGTACTATCAATCCTATACATATACATGCACTGAATCATAGATTCGATCCATGCACAACGATTGCAAGTCGCGATATACATCGACAGGTATAAATAAGGTTAATCACTACGTACATACTTGTAGATCGCATACAATTCACCAACATACATATAACAACTCACGTGCATCCCCAAAGAATACTCACACAAAAACAGGCTATCCTCTTCCCCTTCAAGAGGAGCATAAGCCCGCATACATCCCCAAAAGAACACCCCCACAACACCAGGTGCAATCACACATACCTTATTTCCTTTCAAGAAGAACATAAACGTAGGCATTGAGCGCACGCTATACATCTGCGCCGTTTCGGGCAGCTGATCCACATCCACTTTGAGGAACACTGCCGCAGCCGCATCTATAATCGACAGAGAGTGTGGGGGGTTAGGGTGGTGGATAGGGTTTTAGAATTTATGATAGAGAAAGATACAAAGTGGTGCAAGGGCATTGGACATGTACTACTAATAGTATACAGCAAGTCAGATGAATAAACCGAGCACTTTCAGATATGGTAGGTATTTCACCACGCTCAACCTGGCGATGGTGATGACAGCAAACACTAGAAAGTGCCGGTGCGAATACAGACAACGACTGTATTGAACTACTCCGATTGAACTGCGGTTTGACTACCATTCGACTATAACACGGCGTTTAACTGATAGGAGATAAGATAGGCACAAAGAAGTCACTCGCGCAGAACTAACCCAACTAAAGTTGCGCTGACACACAGTCGCAATAAAAGGCTTGAAAACGGGAGCACTAAGCGTACTTTGGTAAATAATTTGCCCGTATTTAGATATGTGCCCAAATAAACAGACCCCAATTTCATTCGAATTGGACAAAACAAACTTACATTTCTTTGCCAGATTTTTGACATCGGGCGCGATACGTTTGCACGGCCCACACCAAAGGGCATGAAAATCAACCACCACCTGCGACCGTATGAGGAATTGGCATGAGAAAAACCAAAAATATATAAAAATAGAAACCTATATGCATGACGCGTCTTTCTTTTACCGATATCATATTTCACAGAGTCTACTACACCATCATATAATGGGGACTAAAACTACTTGCGAAAAATTGACTGATATGCACATTTGCTGATATACTAATAAAACTATACCTATATACTACTATATTT